ATCAAACTTATCAAGTTGATTCTTCCCATTATTATGCACATAACATTTACATCCAAAGACACGAAAGTATGTGATGTTGGGCTTTCGACCTTTAAGAAGTTCATAGGGAGTCTTATTTAACTTTGGTCTAATGAGACCTCTATTCAATATATAGCAAGCAGTGTCAACAACTTCTCCCCAAAAACTCTTTGGGAGACCACTCTCAATGAGCATCGTCCTCGCCATCTCCTCAAGAGTTCTATTCTTCCTTTCTACAACACCATTTTGTTGAGGTGTTCTAGGGGCTGAGAAGTTGTGATTAACTCCATGTTCCCTACAATAATCAATAAAGTTAGCATTATCAAATTCAGTACCATGGTCTGATCTTACCGAGACCAGCTTGTGGGTGAGTTGGTTCTCCACTTGTTTCACCAATGTTACCCATTCTTCAAACGTTTCATCCTTTGTGTGTAACATCATTACCCAAGTGTACCTAGAATAATCATCAACCATAACACAGACATATCTATGACCTATTCGACTTTGTACTCTCATGGGACCACACAAGTCAATATGTACAAGTTCGAAGGGTCTGCTGGTACTCATAATAGTTTTAGGCTTAAAAGAAATTTTGACCTGTTTCCCCCTTACACATTCAGAACAAACTTTATCAGCTTCATACTTAATGTTAGGAAGGCCTACAACTAAGTCACGTATTTTAAGTTTGTTTAGAAGTGTTAGGCTAGCATGTCCAAACCTCTTATGCCAAATCCATTGATTATTGTCAGAAACAGCTCTCAAACAGATGGACTTGTCTTGAGGGATTTTATCTAAGAAGGTGATGTAAACATCATGCTTCCTGGTTCCCTCACATACAAGTTCTCCTGTTTGTGAGTTAACTATGTGACATAGGTTGGCTTGAAACTCAACTCTATTACCTTTGTCACATAATTGAGAAATACTCAAGAGATTATGTTGCAAGCCTTCAACATAATAAACATCATCTATTGCGTTAGAAAGTGTCTTACCAACCTTACCTAAACCAGTGATGGTTCCCTTGCTGTTATCCCCAAAGGTGACACTTCCTCCATCAAAGGCCACTAGTGAAAGGAATTGATCTTTATCCCCGGACATGTGTCTTGAGCAACCACTGTCCAAATACCAATAGGTGTCTCCCTTCACTCTAGCCTGCAAGAGCAAATCAAACATTAGATTTAGGAACCCAAACATACTTGGGTCCCTTTTCAACAATATTAACAACTTGTTGATCCTTTCTTCTCCAAACACACTTTGCACCCTTGCTGTTCTTATTAGCACTAATTTTCTTAGCTGGACATTCATGTATCTTATGTCCATTTTTACCACAATGAAAACACACATGCATCTCTTTAGTCATGACATACTTGCCTCGTTGATATTCTTTGATCCAGGTGGTTTCTCTGGGAGACCAGTTAGTCCTGGTTCTCTGTCTAGTATAACCGAGACCAACTTTTCCTCTGTTTCCTCTTGATGAAGTCAGGTAATTTAAGGATTTTTGAGCATTCAATAATTTGTCCACATGTCTATGACTATCATTAAGTTCTTTTTCTCTGGTTTCAAGTGTCTTAGTCAACAATTCGTTTTTCTCTTTAAGAAAATCAAAGTTACTTTTTAAAGCTTCGAATTGTAGATTAAGCTTTGAAACCATACGGTCAATAGACATGTCAACAACCACTGGTTGCTTGTCCTTTTTCAGTTGATTGATTTCCGCATGCAAATCACAAATATTACTTTCATACTTATCAATCATAATACTGACATCTACACTGGTACCTGTAGGGGAAACAGTGAACTGTGCAGCTTTAAGTGAAGCAATTTCCTTGTGAGAATTTTCCAGGTTGTAAGCCAATGTTTCAAAGGCCTTCAACAAGGAAGTTCTAGTACATGAATTTGCTTTACTTATAGCTACTGAAAAATCAAGAGTATCACTAGTGGTTGATAAGTCTCTAGGGAACCAGGAGGTCAGATCCTCTTCACCATCAATTGGTTCAAACGATCTTTCCTTTTCTAGTTCCACTTTACACTTGTCCAATTCAACCTCTAGTTCTGCTACTTGATTTTTTAGTTCATAACAGACTCCTTCTAGATGATCACAACTAGCAATAACAATATTACATTCACCACTTTTTTCTTTTAATTCTCTTTTGCAAATTATGTATGTTTCACTTAATTTATAGCATTCATCTAGTAAGGAATCAATACAAGCAAGCATATTTTCTCTATCATATTCATGCATATCTTCTCTAATTTGCTCTAAGCTTACCTTGCGTTCATGTAGTACATCCTTCTTTGCCATAAAGCATTTGTTGAATGTACTGGTTCCCCCTCTGGTTCCTGGACCAGTGTTGTTTTCCTTGATGTTTGTAAAGGCAGTTAGGCAAACATCTGAGTTGGGTGATCCTTCTTCTTCATCTGACCCTGAGTCAGAGTCTCCCCACATGGAAGCTATCATGGCATTCTTGTATGCTTGTTTATCTCCGGATTTAGACTGTTTGTCATTCCACTTAGGACAATCTCGAATAAGATGTCCTTTTTCTCCACACTTGAAACATCCTGTAGAAGAAGAATTAGAGTTAGATTTTTTATAGTTTTTAAAATGCTTACCTTTGAAATTCTTTCTTTGATCTCGAAGAGATCTCTCAAATCTTTTTGCAATCATGCTAATTTCATCTTCATCATCTTCTACTGTTCCCTTAAGCGCCATGCCTCTTGCTGGTTCCTTCTCAGACTTAGAGTCAATCAGCATCTCATGAGTCATAAGGGAACCAATCAGCTGTTCCAGAGACAAGGTAGACAGATCCTTTGCTTCGTATACTGCTGTTACCTTGGCTGTCCATGCATCTGTTAAACTACGCAATAATTTTCTCACAAGATCCTCGTCAGATAAATTTTTACCAAGAGATCTAAGATCATTTACAATAGTCATAAACCTACGAAAGCAATCATTGATTTTTTCATTTTTATTCATGGCAAACAATTCATATTTAGACATGATTAAATCAATTTTAGACCGTTTTACCTCACTGGTTCCCTCAAACGCAAGTTCAAGGGTGTCCCATATCTCCTTAGCACTACTGCAGCCAGATATACGATTTGTTTCGGTCTCACCTATTGCTTGTTGTAGTATTGACATTGCCTTAGCATTCTTCTCCAGCAACTTGTGATCAGCAGTGACCAATTCGCTATCTTTCTTGGGAACCTGGTTCCCCTCAACATCTGTCTTGAGAATGATATTAGGACCATTTTTAACTACGAGCCAGCATTCATAATCAATACCCATGATAACATTCTGGATCCTGTTCTTCCACCAAGCATAATTATTTCCATTAAACTTGGGTGACTTGTTGTCATAACCGATTGCACTTAATTCTTGAGTACTCATTCTTAACTCCTCTAGATGTTACTCTTTCGAGAAGCTTAGGCTCTGATACCAATTGAAGGTTCAATGGGCACTCAAGAGGGGGGGGGGTGAATTGAGTGTTAAGTAATCGTTAGCGATTTTTGCTTCTTTTCGGATTATGTGTAAGGAACCAGTTGTGATGGTTCCCTTATGCAGCGGAATAAAACAAAGCAATAAAGAACACAACAAATTTAACGAGGTTCAGCTAACTCAGGCCTACGTCCTCCTATCCTAAGTCCTTTATTAATCTACTCCGAAAAACAAAGACAAAGAACACTCTACTGTTTCCCTACTCTGGGAACCAGTCTACCCCACACTCTACTCCGAGTGTGCTCTCGACTTACACTCGTAAGCCCAATGTGTTTGAACTCACAAACACTCACCCAACCTTTAACCCCTTTGTTAAAGACTCAATACAAGAATCAAGAACTCTCCTTTGATCTCACTTCTACGAAGCTAATTAAGAGAAAATGTTTTTTTACTAGAATGCTCTTGTATATGACTTGATGAATGGGATTAGTGCTTAAGTATATGCTCTCAAATAATTGCTCTTTTTAATTTCTGGAGAGGCACCCGAAATATGTGAAATAAGATGAGTTTATATAAGCTTAGATTCCTAAAACCTAGTTTCCTTAAATCACACAATCTTAGAGAATAAGATATATTGTAATTTTAGGAAAGTATTTATCTTATTTGATTTAATCACAAAGATAGAATCAATTAAGATAAATACTCCTAGTTTTTAGGTAACCAAGAATATTTCATCTTATTTCCAGCTGCACAAAATATTTTCAAAATAATCTTTTCGAAAAAATCTTTTTGTAAAATCTTTTTCCAAAACGGCAGCTCGAATATTTCGTACAGTGAACCTGGTTCCCCGACCTGGTTCCCTGAATTGAAACATGTTATGAAACCTGTTCCAACTTTGTACCAGATTTCATATCATACTTCAATATACTTTTAAGCACTTATATAACCCAAACATGCAAGCATACTACGGAGCATATTACATGAAAACCTAGATAACATATTAAAGCATAAATCGTCTTTTCTTCATGTAATCTTCAAGACTTGAATCTTCCTTGAATACTTCTATTATGAGCAAACAATCTTTCTTCGAAATATCTTCGAAAGGCTTCTATGCTCCAAGTCTTGGAATCAACTCAACTACTGCACATGTAACATGGTTAATGCACAATAAAGAGTATGTGACTGCTTTTCCGCATAGCAGTCAAGGAAACGGTTCATACTGGTTTCCCACCAGTACATAGCACATTTATCATCTAACTGTTTCCTGTATATAGATAAGTTAGTTCAATAGATAACTCATATAATCAATAACTTATCTAGGAAAACAGTGTTCTATTTTAGTTGGTTCCCCCAACTGTATTGAACACTTTCAAAGACCTGTTTCCCTTAGCTGTTTGTCATCATTCAAAACTATCAATCAAAACCTAAGGGACTCAACAAGATTCAAATCCTAGTCCTTCCTAATAAGGTACATTTTCCGTCATAAACAAAAAATGAACGTGTTCTAATAACTAAACAATTAAAGATCCACAATGAATTGAAGAAGATATACCTGATTGGAACTTAGTAGCTTCGTTGTAAGTGACATTATTGCTGTGATTTTCATCCTTAAATTGTAAAAATATCTCGGACAAGGACGAGATGAAATGCCACAAAGAGTTCCCATCTGCTACACTATGATTCAAGGTAAAACCGATGAAAACCCCGTCGAGTAGCTCGGTTACCTGGATCGATAACAACGGTCTCGTGTGACCATCATGGTTGACAGCCTTCTCACCGAGATCAAACAAGCAAGGTACAATTGGATGTATGTCGGTGGAGGAAAGGAGATCGGATATAGTCAAGTCGGTGTTGACAACAGCATGAATGAGGCGAACTCCCGGACCGGTGGTGCAGTCGACATAGACCCAAATGGCATGTTCATCATGGAACTTTTGGGTAGCAAGTTGACCTGCTAAAGGGTAGAAATGAACAAGAGATTGAGATAATGAAATTTTGAGCTTGTCCAAAAGATGGGTTTGTATGTTTTGTGGTTTACCATGGAAAAGTAGACCCTTTTGCATATGGTCTAATGGTAAGAATATTAGATCATCTGGGGCTAAGTAATGTGGTTGTTTTGAGGCTTCAACTTCATATTTGGGTTTGATGAAAGATTCTGAAACTACTTTTATTTGTTGATGATTTGAGTCCACCATATTTGGTTTTAGCAGCAATTAAGCTAGTTTAATGGTTAATTATTTGATTTGTTAAGAAGATCAAAGTTGTGGTAGGTGAGAGAATCACCAATTTCCAATGGACCAATGTCAATATTTGGAGTTATGAACTCATTGGGCTCAAGAAAAGGCAACTTGAGAATTGGGCCGTATCCGTTAGGAAAAAGAGCTTGTTAGGGATGGACTCCGCAAATTCTAATATGCACCATGGCACACCTTAAATTGTGTGCACCACCAATGAGTTGATGCCACGTAATTAATAGTTGCCAGCTGTAGCTTTTTTCTTTCAAATTCTCAACGTTCTTCCCTTTTCTATTTCATGTGTTCTTTCCTTTTTCAATTATTTTCTAATTTCTCAATTCCTTTTCTTCAATTTTCTTCTTAAACTTACCTGATTTTAAATCATCATACATAATTTCTCTCTCCTCTATTTTCTCTCTTCTCTATCTTTCTCTCTTCGTATATTGAATGCGGTTATCACCATTGTTTATTCCTCTGTTTTGATTGAATTTGGCTGGAATTCTCCTGGAATTACCTTCATTATAAAAGCAAATTCGACTAATGAGATAGGATCGAGAGGAAAAATCTTGCATTTAATTTAATATTTGACTGGTTTTTTCCCGGAGAAGATGATGACGGTTCGACAGAGTAGTTGAGGCGAAATAGGTGGCGGTGGATTTTAGCTATATGAGGAGATTAATTTAGGAAGAATTTAATTAGGAAAAGTATATCTAACTTGCAGAGTATGTGGAGCTTCATTCATGGTGAATGTTGCCTAACTTGGAGACAGAAAGTAATACAGTTGTTAATGTATATCCTCATATAGTCATATCTGACTTACTTTGGTTAATTTGATAAAAAAAAAAATCAACTTAGGTTGGTATCAATTAAACAATCACGCATCCCGTCAAAAAAAAAAAAAATTAAACAATCACGCACATTCATATAATTTTCAATACATGAACCCCTTTTATTTAGTTCATGTGTATAGAATCGATCATTTTCTCATTTTATTATGAACATTCCTGTATTCGTTTATATTTTGGTAATTTCGAACATTTTTGTTAAAAATTTGAACATATGATACGTATCCTATGTAAATAAATTTTTACCGATATATATTTTGGAATTTTGAACATCTTAATTATAATTCTGAACATGCTATACATTTCTTATGAACATTTCTTTAGATCTATGAACATTATGAACGGTACATCTTAATTATAATTCTGAACATATATTTAGGAATTATGAACATCTTAATATACAGATTGGTTATTAACATATATTTTTAATTATATTTTTCAGTGAATAAAGAATAAATCTATTCTAACTCAATAAAGAAACAAGTCAGAACTGATAAAGAAGCCTTTTGAGCTATAATGGTTATGCTTTTTGATTTGAACTTCTAACGTAATTTCATGAACATATGTTATTTATGAACATACATATATATTTTGCATTTGCTTAAAAAAAATTGTTTTTTTTAAATAAGTGGTTAAGAATTTGTTATATATTTTGTTATTAATTAGATATATGAACCTATATGTTACATTGGTTTTGAACATATATTCATTCTATATACGAGTGTTAAGTAATTTTATACAAGTGGATACGAAGTATGGAGTATTAAGTTTGAACATTCTACTTTCATAAATTGAACACTAATTTTTTTTTAAATGAACATAATAGACGTATTTTCTTATTAGTTGTTATTAAGAGCATATGATCAATGGACATAGTACTATACCTGTATTATAGCTTTTTTTCTCACCGAGATAGTAATAAGTCCTTGTATAATAGGCTAATAGCTTCAAATAAAGAACGAAAGTGGTAACACATTACTATATATGTTGATAGCTGGTTTGTATGAGGTGAAAGGTTTATAAGCAAACTCATACGTTAAAATATGTAAAATAATAACATAGAATCTGGCATACAACATGTAAATGACAAATAAATATTAAGTACAAAATAATAAAAATCAACTAATAATAAGAAATTTAAAATGAATGAAGAACCATGATAATAAAACTATAGGTATGTATTTATTATATTGAAAATGAATATGATAAATGAACAATTAGAGTACAATTAATGAACATATTTTGTCACATGCATATATAGTACATGAATGAACAATTAGAGTACAACTTATGAACATATTTTGTCACAATTCAACGCCCTTATTATGTTCTTATGTTACTTGGATTTGGATTTTTAGCTAGCAACACAGCTCATATTTCGTAACCTTGCCTCCTCTTTTCTCCAATTCATTTTATTCATTCATGTACCAATTTCTTCGCCCATACAAAAATGATAGGGTGAGTCTTTTTGGATGCAGAATATTTCTCTTTTGAGCACGAACTCATCAAAACAACTGTATAACATAAGCAACGAGCATAAGAATATGAACAATAAGTATTTAGAATGAACAAATTAAACAATATTAATTAATATGAACAATAAGCATAAAAATATGAACAATAAGAATTAGAATATGAGCAATGTGCATTCAAACGAATTTGGTGGCTTTTCACTTGATTCTGATGCCTTATCAGAAGTTTCAGAGGGCTAGTCTATTTCTTCTAGTGGCATATCAGAAGTTTCAGGGGGGCTTTTCTGTTTCTTCTAGTGGCTTATCAGAAGTTTTGCTTCTTAGAAGTTTCAAAGGGCTTTTTTAATTTCTTTTGGGGGCTTTTCTATGGCTTCTGGTTGCTATTAAGATGTTTTCGAGGGCTAAGCAGATGTTTGTTGTGGCAGTTCAAATGTTTGTGGTGGTAGTTCAGATGTTTGTGGGGGTAGTTCAGATGTCTTTGGATTGTTAATAAAAAATAAACAACATAATGAAAAACAATGAACACCCAAACAAATTTTAACTTCATAAAGCATAAGCTATATGATCATAAATAATAATTAATATGAACATGAAACATAAAATATATGAACACAAATATTGAAGTGGGGGTTGTTCACTGTTCTTTAGGGGGATGTTCAGTGGTTATATTGTGTTGTTTAAAAGTTTTTTGAGGGTGTGCAATAGTTGGTTTGCTTATTATTAAATATTAAACAACAAAATAAGGAAACACACAACATCCAAACAAATTATTATTTCATCATACCAAAATACTTAATATAATTTATACACAAATTATTACTTCATATATATATATATATATATATATACATATATATATATATAATATACACAACGTATATGAACATCAAACATGAATTATATGGGCACAATTGCATTGTTAGCATTGCCTCCACTAAGTTCAGAAGTTTTTGAAGGTGGTATAGAACTTTATGGTGCTTGTACAGAACTTTATGGTGCTTGTACAAAAGTTTCTGGAGGTGGAACAAAAGTTTCTGGAGTGGGTGGTATAGAAGTTTGTGAAGGTTGTTCAGAATATTCTGAAGGTAGTACAGAAGTTTCTGGTGGCTTCTCTTTCTTATAGGTTTTTTCTGTTTCAATGGGCATCTTTGGTTCAGAAGTTTTTGGATGTTGTTAAGAAGGTTTTGAAGTGGGTTCAGTGTTTTCTGGTTGTTTTTCTCTCGCAGGGGGTTCTTCTGTTTCAGGGAGAATCTGTTGTTAAAAAGTTTTTGGAGGTTGTGCAGAAGGTTTTGGAGAGGGTTTAGAAATTTGTGATTGTTCAGAAGTTTTTGGTGGTTCAGAATTTTTAGGGGATTGTGAGGGTTGATCAGATTTTTCAGGGTGCTGTTTAGATGTAAGTGGGGGCATTTCAAATGTAAGTGGGTGCATTCCAGTAGTTGAACAATTAATAAAAAAAATAACAATATCATTAACATTTGAAACAAATATATGAATGTAAAGCAAATTGAATATCATAATAAACAAAACATATATGAACATAAATTGAAGTGGAGGTTGTTTAATGTTTTTTGTTCAAAAGTTTCTTAAGGGTGTTCAACACAATATTAAATAGAACATATACCAACGTAAATTGAAGTGGGGGATGTTTAGTGGTTTTTTCTTGTTGTTCACAAGTTACTTAATGGTTGTTCAAACAAAAATAAAAAATAATTAAAATCAATGAACATGCAAACAAATATACAAACATAAACATGGAATTGTGGGTTGTTCATTTGTTTATAAGCGATGTTCAGTGGTTTATTTTGTGTTGTACAAACATAAATTATATTTCAAACCAAACAACGTATATGAACATTAATCAAGAAATATATAAACCAAAATATACATGTTTGTTGGACTTTCTGAAATTTCTTTGTCTAATTCTTCCAATATTTTTTGATCAACAATTTGACTTGACTTAGATATATCTTCTAATTTCTTCTTTTTTGGTGTTTTGACTTTGAACATTTTGCTTAATAACCTGTTCAAAAAGTTATGGTTCAAATTAGTATTCAATTATAAAATTTTCAAATTGTGAATTTAAATAATAAATTACTTACATATCATCTTCATCCTCTTCAATAGGAGTAGATACTTCTGATTTTCTAGCAAAAAAAAAAAAAAAAATTGAAAGAAAAAAATCAAAACGACAATTATTTTAACAAATTTAACGAAATTGTATCAAAATTAAAGTAATTTAAGTGATGTTCACCTTTTTGAAGTTGTTTTTAGTTGTTCTTCATCGTTCGCCATGGAAGACTATCAGTTTTTAAAGAGAGAAAATTGAAGAGATGAGTGAGAAAATTGAAAAGAGGAGAGAGAAATGCAAATGAATTAATTGAAGGAAGTTTATAATTTATGAGAGGAGAGAGAATATTTTTAAAATGATTAAAAAAAATAAAATGGCTGTTTAAAATTCAGAACAGTTATTTTTTTTTATAAAAAAAAATCGAATCACGTGTGTTGGGTGTGGTCAGTGTCTGGGTTTCAATAGTTGGGCGTGGATTGTTTGTCTTGGCTCCGTTTGTTGGACGCGTATTGGACCTGGTGCACCTAATTCTAGGTGCACCATGGTGTATATAACACCAATTGGGATGGACTCAATGACATTTTCTATAGGCCCATTATTATTATCATCCGTATTAGACTACAGTCTCACTAGTAAGTAGTCACTACACCAAAGCAATTGTTTATTTCTAAGATTAATACTCCATATAATATACAGTAGTATTCGTGATATTTTGTTCTTATTATCGTTACTTCATAAATGCAAACTTACTGGTTAAAGTATTGGAAAATAGATAATCAAATAAAACATGAGACCGAATCGATCCCTTCTACATCATTTTATCGAGACAGAACTCATAAACTCCTCATCGGATTCAAGAGCATTCATTGTCTCAGGTTTCAGACATATCTCTGCATCAACACTTCCTCCCCCTTTGCGACCCGGGTTCAGGGTCACCTTCCCATCATCCTTATTAGCATACCCAGCTAAAACAGCCACTGCTTTACCAAGTCCAAATTCAGGCCCATACATATCAAATTTTGCTGACCCGGCAATCAACACTCCATTAGGCTCATAATACGCAGATCTTGAGCCTGTTTGCGGCACATAAGGAGCCTTAGCATAATTATGAAGCCGTTTTTGAATTTCAGTGTCGTCTATAGACTCCACACTTTGTCGAATTAACAACGCAGTCGAGCCCAAACCAAGCCCAAGTAAGTCGCGCACCTTGGATGCACATTGCACTCCTTCAATGTAATTCCCGAAGCACTCTTGGGAAAACGGAGGCGTAATTCGAGTCCGCCAACTTAAAGCAAACGAACAAATAATCCTTATACTCGGTTCCAAATTTCTAACACGGGTAATAGACGTCCATATAAATGCGGACAAGGCTTGAAATGTGGATATAACATTGTCGCATTCTTCGTTAGCCTTAGCTTTCAATATCGACATCGTCTTAGACGAGAAATGGAAAATTCTTTCTCTTAATACGCCTGGATCAAACCTATATACGAACTCGTCTGGTTCGAGGTATGGTAGCTTGATGATCGGACCATATCCTTCAGGAAAATAAGGCTTGTATATTGGTTTTCGAGATACTGTGATGTCCATGGAAGAAACTGCATTATTCAACCATGTTAATAATTTGGCATAGGCTTGTCTTAATTATTAGAGTATATACCAAATAAGTGAAATGTCTTGCTAAACTTTGTTTACATGTGAGAAAATTTGACAATAACCAACTAATATTATTATTGTTTTAGGAATAACACATACAGTATTTTATTTATTTTATTTTAATTTTACTACCAACTATATTTAATAAATAAATCTCAAACCTTTATCTTATAAGGACCAAAAAAACTAATTTCCTTCAATGTTCAGATTATAAAAAAAAATGGAAATATAGTTAGATTAATAAATTCAATTTTTTTTCCTTTATAATATTTGTTTTTTCTACGCGTATATGTATAAAGCTAAGCAGCTAAATGTGGGTCAAGATTCACTCAATTGTAGTAGCTATTTTGATCACTCCATTCCTTTTTATTCTTATAAACTTTTTTAATTTTTTTTTTAATTTACAGTCCATAATGAACATCTTTGACCACATAATTTAATATGATAATGAGTAAATTAAATTTTTATAAAAATTTATATTTAGAAAATAAATCAAGCCAAAACTAATAAGATTGCACCTAAGTAATTGATATTATTTTAATATTCATGATTGTGAATTTTTATAATCATATTTGTCAAAAGTTGAACACAAATGTCAAAATATATGACTATAAAGGTATGGATTGAGTTCTTTATTTATTTATTTTATTAATTTTTTGGTTGTTGTATTTGTTGTTGTGGCTACATACAAGATTACTAGTGTTAAGTTCCACTAATTCTATGGTTTCGCGCAGAAACATTAAAAAAATCACTTCAACAAAACAAAATGCTCAAAAGTCACAACTGATGGTGATATTAGCTAGGCTGTTGCTATTGTACAAGACTACAACTGTCCATGATTTGCATTTTGGGTTTAATCAAATCATTGGATATTAGGCTTAAATATATTTTGAGCCACGCCCAAGTAATCTATGCTTCATTTTATGTTAAAAAAAATATATATATTAACATACATGTCCTAGTCAAGTAGTAGTAACAATTAATAAAAATTATCAATTTAATGAAGTTCTAAATTAATTAATATATGCTTCGTTTTATGTTTAAAAAAAAAGTGGTGATATTGGAAATTTGTACCTTCAGTTTTAGTGAGATTATTATCGTTGTGATTTTCATCCTTCAACTGTACAAAAATCTCGGACAAGGTCGAGATAAAATGCCACAAGGAAGTCCCGTCCGCTAAACAATGATTCATGGTAAAACCGATGAAAACCCCGTCAATTAACTCGGTCACTTGGACCGACAACAAAGGCCTTGTGTGACCATCATAGTTTACGGCCTTCTCACCAAGATCAAACAAGGAAGGTACAACGGGATGTATGTCGCAGGAAGACAAGAGATCGGATACTGAAAAATCGATGACAGCATGGATGAGGCGAGCTCCAGGACCGGTGGTGCAATCGACATAAACCCAAATAGCATGTTCATCAGGGAACTTTTGGGTAGCAAGTTGACCGGCTAAAGGGTAGAAATAGACAAGAGCGTAAGATAATGAAATTTTGAGTTTGTCCAAAAGTTGAGATTGTATGTTTTGTGGTTTAGCATGGAAAAGTAGACCCTTTTGCATATGGTCTAAAGATAAGAACATAAGATCGATTGAGGCTAAGTAATGGGGTTGTTTTGAAGCTTTAACTTCATATTTGGGTTTGATAGAACATTCTGAAAAAAAATTTATTTGTTGATGATTTGTTTCCTCCATATTTGATTTTTTTGCTATTGCTAAGATCAAATGAATAGAGTAGAGGTCAATTTTCTTTATAGTATGGTGCTTGTAAGAAAGAAATTTCCACATTATTAATAATTGAATTATTATCACTACTTTATTTCTAGAATTGTCCTCAATTTTCTTCTGAATACTATGTTTACATATGACATATTACAAACACTTTTCTCTTCCACTATATAAAGCTGCAACGTCATTCATTGAGAAAAGAGAATGATTTATTAACCGTAATACAAGTATGTGCCAATAATTAATTGGAGGTAAAATTTGGTAGAATAGCACAAATTATTGTTTAGGTGCACTCAATAGCATGAATTTTGAGTGAAGTAATAAAAAATACTAACTTTCAAGGGTTGGGTGTGGTTTATGGCACAAATTAGTGAAGTAATAGTGACGTACATATGTGCATAACAAATTACATAAGTTACGTAATGTAATATATTGAGAGTGAGGGATAGTTGAAGTGGTTAGAGCTTCTTTTCCGATTCCTAGAGATTTTGGGATCGATTCTCACCCCTGCTCCATAGACAAATCTTAATTACAAAGATTATAGTAGTTGCATGAGTGGGGTGGGAGGTGGGGAGTGGGGGGGGGGGGCGGGGTTAAATTATATAGATGAAATTCGTTGGAAAATTCGACATTAGAAATCATTTTATGTTATTTACTGCACTCAACCTCTAAAGTTCATGTTGTTTATTACTTTATTTAAAGTTCGTGCTATTAAGTGTACCTAAGCAATACTTTGTGCTATTCTAACCAATTTGCCTTAAATATATGCTTATATCAAAGTATTTTAATCATTAATGTTTAATTAGTATTTACCAAAATTTGAAAATTTATTAAAAATTACTCTAGAGGAATCTACTGAAAAGAGAAATCTCACAAGACAAAATGTATTACTCGTATTCTAACTAGAGTTGTCAAAAGTTGAGTCGACCCAAAATACCGACTCAAGCCCGATTATTAACTGACCCATCTGAACTCGAAAAAATGGTAACCCAAACTAAAACCAACCCTAGACCCGAGTTGGCCCGAGTATATAAAACCCGAACCCGAACATAAACTCACCTGGAGATAGGGGTGGCAATATCATCCAAACCCGATGGATAACCATCCACCCGATCTAAATATATGGATGAAAACCTAAACTTAAGTGGATGACGGATGGATGATGGATGGATCGGGTGATGGATCGGGTCGGATACGGATGATGATACATCCAACCCATCACCCGATCCATCCATCCACCCGTTAAATTTATTTATAAAAAAATAAAAATAAATATCTTTTTTAATAATTTAATGTCTATTATAGTGTTAGGAATTGACATTTGTTTTAATTTAGTTAAAAGGAACAAGTATTAGAAAGATGTATCAAAGTTTTAATAAAATTGATCACTTTTTTTTTGTCAAATCTTGATTTTAATTATGAAAATAAAAAGTTATATTTATATATTTATTTCACCCGAATTATCACCCGATCCACCCGATTCATCCATGGATGACGGATGGAGATGTGGATGAAAAAAAATTAGGTGATGGATGGGTCGGGTGATGGATGGATCGTTGGTGGATGGAGGCGGATGAAGCATCACCCGACCCACCTCCGATTCATTGCCATCTCTACCTGGAGATGACCCGATCCGACCTGACCCGAATGTAACTAGTAAATTATTGACCTGAACCGAACCCGACTTGAACCGAAATTGACCCAAACCCGTTTTAACCCGTCAAAACCCGAATTTAACCCGACTTGTTACTAACTTGACCTGAATTCAACCCGACCTCTTCCTAACCCGACCCGAATTTAACCCAACCTATTACAAACCCGACCCGAAATCAACCCAACTTGTTATTGACCTGACCCAAATTCAACCCGACTTATTATTGACCTGACCCAAATTTTACTAGACCTATTACTAACCCGACCCAAAAATTCAGCCCAATCTGTTACTAACCCGACTCGAAATCAACACGATTTGTTATTGACCCGATCTAAATTAAATTCAACCCAAATTATTCACGACCCGGTTCCAAATCACCTTAAAAACGCAATTTAGACCACCTTATTATTGTTGATCAAATCATTTTATCTAGAAAGACCAAGTCAGTCCAGGCCAGCAAAATAAAGGAGCATCATCCTCAAATTTAAGAATTAAATATAGTATATATTTGTTGTATGGTCAAAGGAGATAATTATCTTCCTGAATTATAAACTATAGTTCCCTAGTATATTGCCATATATATTATAGTAAAAAGGAAATAATTAGCTTCATAAAAATGATAACTATCTATTTATATTTAGTTGAACCCGAATATAACCTGACTTGGAAATGACCCGACCTGATTGTAACCTGCAATTATTGACTTGAACATAACCCGACTTGACTCCGAGAATGACCCGACTTGAAAATAACCCAACCTGATTATAACCCGCAAATTATTGACTTGAACCGAACCCGACTTGAACCCGAGAATGACCCGAGTTATAAATGACCCTATCTGATTATAACCAGCAAATTATTGACTTGAACCGAACCCGACTCAAACCCGAGAATGACCCGACCTGATTCTAAACCGCAAATTACTGACTTAAACCGAACCTGACTCGAACCCGAGAATTAACCTAACCCATTTTAACCCGTGAAAATCTGAATTAAACCCAACCTATTTTCACCCGACCCGAATGTAACCCGAATAGTTATAAACTCGAACTAAACTCGACAAAAACCCGATAAGAAGTATGACCCGACTGAAGCATGACCTAACCCAAATCCGACCTGCATAGGTTATGGAATTAATCCGAATTGACCCGACCCGAGTTGACCTAACCCACTCTTACCGACCCGAGTTGACCTAACCCACTCTTACCGACCCAAACCCGACCCGTTTACCCGAATTGACAGCTCTAACCGAAACTTCCAAAATTTCTCAAAACGCGTGGATATTAGCCTTTAATTTTGGAATTTTTTGACTTTTTTTTGCTCGGAAAATATATATTGCCGAAATGTTTACCATGCTCCTTAATACCCTCTGGGATTCCAATTGGTTGGGTGGAACCATCCAATTTGCCTTTAAACGGTCAATTTACCGATTTACAACTTGCACCGATTTCATTAAATTCAAGCCTACCACGAACATTTATGACAACATATAATGATCATATATGATTCAAAATGGCATTATATGACTCCGAGACCTTTCCACTAAAATCTCAAGCCTTTTCGACACCGGGCCCCGAAACCTCTAAAATTTCTAAAAAAAAACGTGGATATTAACCTTCATTTTTTGAATTTTTTGACTTTTTATCGCCCAAAAATAAAAATTGTCGAAATGTTTACCATGTTCCCTAATACCCTCTGGGTGTCCAATTGGATGAGTGGAACCATCCCATTCCCCTTAAAACGACCAATTTACCGATTCACAACTTCCACCGATTTCATTAATTCAAGCCTACCACGAACATTTATGACAACATATAATGATCATATAGGTTCAAAATGGCATTATATGACTCCGAGATATATCCCCTAAAATCCCAAGACTTTTCGACACCGGCCCCCGAAACCTCTAAAATTTCTCATAAAACGTGGATATTAGCCTTCAATTTTTGAATTTTTTGACTTTTTATCGCCCGAAAATAAAAATTGCCTAAATGTTTAACATGGTCCCTAACACCATCTGGGTGTCCAATTGGGTGGGAGGAACTATCCAATTTTCCTTTAAACGCCAATTTACCGATTTACAACTTTCACCGATTTCATTTATTCAAGCCTACCACGAACAATTATGAGAACATATAATGATCATATATAGTTCCAAACGACATTATATGACTCCGAGATTTATCCCCAAAAATCTCAAGCCTTTTCAACACTGGACCCCGAAACCTCCAAAATTTCTCAAAAAGCGTGGATATTAGCCTTCAATTTTGAATTTTTTGACTTTTTCCGCCCGGAAATAAAAATTGCCGAAATATTTACCATGGTACCTAAGACCCTCTGGGAATCCTATTGGGTGGGTGGAACCATCCAATTTGCCTTTAAACGACCAATTTACCGATTTACAACTTGCACCGATTTCATTGATTCAAGCCTACAACGAACATTTATGACAACATGTAATGATCATATATGGTTTCAATCGACATTATATGACCCTGAAATGTATCATTTATAATTTCAAGACTTTTCGACACCGGGCCCCGAAACTTCTAAAATTTCTCAAAAAGTGTGGATATTAGCCTTCAATTTTGAAATTTTTTGACTTTTTTTCCCCGAAAATAAAAATTGCCGAAATGTTTACCATGGTCCCTAATACCCTCTAGGAGTCCAATTGGTTAGGTGGAACCATCCAATTTGTCTTTAAACGACCAATTTACCGATTTACAACTTACATAGATTTCATTAATTCAAGCCTACCACGAACATTTATGACAACATATAATGATGATATATGATTCCAAATGGCATTATAAGACTACGAGATCTATCATCTAAAATTTTAATCCTTTTCGACATCGGGCCCCGAAACCTCTAAAATTCGTCAAAAAGTGTGGATATTAGCCTTCAATTTTGATTTTTTTGACTTTTTATCGTCCAGAAATAAAAATTGCTGAAATGTTTACCATTATCCCTGATACCCTCTGGGTGTCCAACTGGGTGGGTGGAACCATCCAATTTGCCTTTAAACGGCTGATTCACCGATTTATAATTTTCACCGATTTTATTAATTCAAGCCTACCATGAACATTTATGACAACATATAATGATCATAAATGGTTCCAAACATTATTATATGACCTTGGGATATATTTCCTAAAATCTCAAGCTTTTCGACACCGGGCCCCGAACCCTACAAAATTTCTCAAAAAGCGTGGATCCTTCAATTTTGGAATTTTTTTTTGATGTTTTCCCCCCAAAAATATAAGTTGCCGAAATGTTTACCATATTCCCTAATACCCTCCGAGAATCCAATTGGTGGGTGGAACCATCCAATTTCCCTTTAAATGACCAGTTTATCGGTTTACAACTTGCACCGATTTTATTAATTCAAGCGTACAACGAACATTTATGACAACATATAATGATCATATATGATTCAAAATGACATTATATGACTACGATATGTATCCCCTAAAATCCCAAGACTTTTCGACACCGGGCCCCGAAAACCTCTAAAATTTCTCATAAACGTGGATATAAGCCTTCAATTTTTGAAATTTTTGACTTTTTATCGTCCGGAAATAAAAATTGCCGAAATGTTTACGATGGTCCTTAACACCCTCTGGGTGTCCATTTGGGTGGGTGGAACTATCCAATTTCCCTTTAAACGCCAATTTACCGATTTACAACTTTTACCGATTTCATTAATTCAATCATACCACAAACATTTATGAGAATATATAATGATCATATATGGTTCCAAACGACATTATATGACTCCGAGATGTAACCCCTAAAATCTCAAGCCTTTTTGACACCGTACCCCGAAACCTCCAAAATTTCTCAAAAAAGGTGGATATTAGCCTTCAATTTTGATTTTTTTGACTTTTTTCGCCCGGAAATAAAAATTGCAGAAATGTTTACCATGGTCCCTAATACCCTCTGGGGGTCCTATTGAGTGGGTGGAACCATCCAATTTACTTTTAAACGATCAATTTACCGATTTACAACTTGCACCGATTTCATTAATTCAAGCCTACAAAGAACATTTATGACAGCATAAAATGATCATATATTGTTCCAATCGATATTTTATGACCCTGAGATGTATCTCCTAAAATTTCAAGCCTTTTCGACACCGAGCCCTGAAACCTCTAAAATTTCTTTAAAAGCGAGGATATTAGCCTTTAATTTTGGAATTTTTTTGACTTTTTTAGCTTATAAATAAAAAATTTCGAAATGTTTACCATGGTCTCTAATACAATCCGGGAGTCCAATTAGGTGGGTGGAACCATCGAATTTGCCTTTAAATGGTGAATTTACTGGTTTACAACTTGCACTGATTTCATTAACTCAAGCCTACCTTGAACATTTATGACAAAAAATAATGATCATTTATGGTTCCAAAAGGCACTATATGACCGCGAGATGTATCCCCTAAAATCTCAAGGATTTTTGACAATGGGCCATGAAACCTCCAAAATTTCTCAAAAAGCGTGAATATTAGCCTTAAATTTTGGAATTTTTTGAGTTTTTTTTTGCATGTAAATAAAAATTGACGAAATGTTTACCATGATCCCTAATACCCCCCGGGAGGCCAATTAGGTGGGTGGAACAATCCAATTTGCCTTTAAATGGTGAATTTATCGGTTTACAACTTACACCGATTTCATTAACTCAAGACTACCACGAACATTTATGACTACATATAATGATCATATATGGTTCCAAACAGCATTATATGACCCCGAGATGTATCCCCTAAAATATTAATACTTTTTTACACCGGGCCCCGAAACCTTCAAAATTTCTCAAAAAACATGGATATTAAGACTTCAATTTTGAATTTTTTTGATTTTTTTTTCGCTTGGAAATAAAAATTGCCGAATTGTTTACCATGATCCCTAATACCCTCTGAGATTCCAATTGGGTTGGTGGAACCATCCAATTTTCCTTTAAACGACCAATTTACCGGTTTACAACTTGCACCAATTTCATTAATTCAAGTTACAACGAACATTTATGACAACAAATAATGATCATATATGGTTCCTAACGGCATTATATGACCCTGATATGTATCTCATAGAATTTCAAGACTTTTCAACACCGGGCCCCAAACCTCCAAAATTACTCAAAAAGCGTAGATATTAGCCTTCAATTTTGGAATTTTTGACTTTTTTTCGCCTGGAAATAAAAATTGCCAAAATTTTTACCATGATCCCTAATACCTTTCGGGAGTCCAATTGGGTGTGTGGAACCATTCAATTTGATTTTAAACGGCCAATTTACCGGTTTACACCTTGCACCGATATACCGGTTTATAACGGCCAATTTAATTAATTTGCACAGAACCTGACTTGAACCGAAATTGACCCAAACCCGTTTTAACCCGTCAAAACCCGAATTCAACCCGACTTGTTACTAACTTGACTTGAATTCAACCCGACCCGTTTCTAACCCGACCTGAATTTAACCCAGCTTGTTACAAACCCGACTCGAAATCAACCCGACTTGTTATTGACTTGACCCAAATTCAACCCGAGTTGTTATTGACCCGAACCGAATTTTACCATACCTATTATTTACCCAACCCAAAAATTCAACATGATATGTTTCTAACCCGACTCGAAATTAACACGACTTGTTATTGACTTGATTTCAAATCACCTTAAATGCAATTTATACCACCTTATTATTGTTGATCAAAGGATTTTGTCTTGAGTGACCAAGTCGGTCCAGGCCAGCAAAAGAAAGGAGCAGCATGCTCAAATTTAAGAGTTAAATATAATATTTGTTTGTTGTATGGTCAAAGGAGATAATTATCTTCCTAAATTATAGTATATTGCCATATATATTATAGTCAAAGAAAATTATTAGCTTGTTAAAAATGATAATTATCTATTTATATTTATACTGGTTTGTCCAATTGTAGCATTCAATGGTGTTACGTTACAAGTTAGATCAGTTTTGCTTGTAATTTGACATTGAGTTCATTGCACGTTAACCAAGAAAATTAATCAACTTACTAATTAAATTACAAGTAGGAGTAAATAATTCAACGAAGGCCGTCTGCCAGCTTAGAACTAATTGAATGTTTCAAACATGAAAGATGAAAATTCATCATGACTTGATCACAAATTCTTTAGAAAAAATGTTTACAAAAATTTCAAACAAAATATGTAACAGAAGAATAAGATTTCCCCTGCATCAATGGCAGAGTCTTCTGTTCAATCAGCCGTGCAACGGCTAGGAAATCTCCTCGTCGAGGAAGAAGAAAATCTAGTATCGATAAAAGAAAAGGTGGAGCAGCTTAGGGACGAGCTCGATTGGATGCATTGCTTCTTGAGGGAAGCTGATGCATGTCGATATGTTGATCCAAGGGTTAGTAGGTGGGTTGTACAAATACAAGAAATCGCGCTTGAGGCTGAGGAAGCTGTCGAGAGTTTTCTTTTTAAACTCATAAGTCATAAAAAGCAAGAGTATGCAGGAAAAACATTTGTGATCAAGAATAGGCTTGAAAGGTATTTATGGGTTCTTGGTGAGGCTAAGGCAATTCATGATGCTAGTAATGCTATCGAGGCCTTGAGAGTTAAAATCGCTACGTTAACTTCAAGGCTTCAAGCATATGGTATCAAAATCACAAGATCGGACACTGAGGTATCGACGTCTAGAGGGTATTCACTAGATGTTGTAAAGGAAGAAAAATATATTGGTTTGGATGATCAAGTGAAGAAAATTGTGGGTGATTTGGTTGGCAAAGCAGGGGAAAACAGAGTTTTTGGCATAGTTGGAAAAAGTGGTGTAGGAAAGACTACTTTGGCTAGGAAAGTTTTCTTTGATCATGTGATTAAGAAACATTTTAACAGGTTTTCTTGGGTTTATGTGCCTCAGAATTGCACAATTTCTGGTGTTCTAAGAGGGATTTTAACCTCTCTTGCAACGAATTCGAGTGATGAGATTGGATTAATGACTGATCAAGTTTTAATTAAGGAGCTCTATGAAATTTTGCTTGAAAAGAAGTGTTTGGTGATCTTAGATAATTTAAGGAGTTGTGATATTTGGGAATGTATAAAGGCAGCATTTCCTGGAGACGACGACAGAGATTCTGAAAGCAAATTTTTGTTCACAACAGAAAATAAGCTGGTGGCTGAGCAAATACATGAGAAAGCAGTAGTTCATGAGATCAAATGTTTAATTTATGATGAAAGTTGGGAGCTTCTTCAATCAAAATTGGGTCGTATTCCACCACAAATCTTTGGAAACAATGGTAAAATATGTTTACTTCACATTTATACATTCATATATATTTCAATTTTAGTTTCTTTACTTTCTCCTAATCCCCAATTCATCGAGTATAGATGTATGTTAATTAATTGGTATTAGACCCTTCATCTTGTATGTCTATATTGAATTTTTTGGGTGTTTATTATTAGTACGTTGTACGTATAAGGTTATCAAGATCTTATAGCTTATCCGATATGATTAATAAGAACTAAAAGCCTAATAGGTTGATGTGTACAAGTTTCCAATGTTAATTTATCGATCTCTAGGATTAACCTATCAATCCTCAACCCCTATACGTGTACATAGGAAAACAAGGGATCCTCTTAACTATTATGCATTTTTTGAGTTTATATATTCATGCATTCTATACTATAATTTTTTGAGTTTATATATTCATGCATTCTAAAATAGCCTCATCTCTTATAATGTATGGTTGGTGCACCCGGGTGCACCATGCGCATGGTGCACCCGAAAAGAACATAAGGTATATTTAAAAGAATATGGGCAAAAAAAGAACATTATATATATTTATAAAGAACATGAGCATAATATGTTCTTTAAGTTTGATGATTATGTTCTTTGAGTTTGAACTATATGTTCTTCATATTATACAATATGTTCTTTATATTATACAGTATATTCTTTAATGTATGTACATTAAAAAAAAAATCAATCACTCGAGTAACCAGAAAAAAGAACATGTTCTTTAATGTATTATCATGTTCTTTTTGTAAAGACTTTATGTTCTTTGGCTAGAGGTGATCAAAGTTAGAACGGCCCGACCCGATTTTGGACGGGTTTTGGGCAGAATTTTTTCGTCCCCAAAATCGGGTCGGACCCGGCCCTTAAATTTAATTTATTGGGCGGGTTTGGGAATGCGTTTTATGCATTTTAGTTGATTTTTTTACTCGACCTGAAAAGCCCGCATGTCCGGACAATTTTGGGCACAAAAACTTTGGCCCAAAATTTGGCCCGACCCGAGAAGTGAGCTGATTTTTTAACCTTGGCCCGGCCCACCCAATGATCACCTACATCTTTGTCAAACACGAACATGTTCTTTTTTGTCAAATATAATGTTCTTTTTCAAACACGTTCAACACCTAAATAACCATGAAAAATAACATGTTCTTTTCGTAAAGACTTTATGTTCTTTGTAATGTCATGTTCTTGTCAAACACAAACATGTTCTTTTGTCAAACATAGGTATGTTCTTTTTCTAACACTAGCATGTTTTTTTTTTGCCCATGTTCTTTAAAATATGTCTAATGTTCTTTCCGGGTGCACCATGCGCATGGTGCACCCGGGTGCACTATACTATTTTCACATCTCTTATAGTTGGCTGAATTCGGTTTCATTCCTTATTTAGATTTCTTATAATATGGCCTTCTAAAACTAAATATATATTATCTATCAATAAATCTTGCATTGCAATGTAGGTTCTCCAAAGGGGATGGAAATGGCGAAGAAAATGTTAAAATTCTGCCAAGGAATTCCACTGGCAATTATTGCACTTGGAGGTCTTTTGGTGACCAAGAAAACGCCAGAAGAGTGGGAAACCCTTCTCGGTTTCATGAGTTCTCACGAAAATGGGAAGAATAATCAACAACAATCGTATGAAAAAGTTATGGAAATATGCTACTATGCTTTACCATATTACCTCAAGAATTGCTTGCTCCATTTAGGTGGCTTTCCAGAAGATTTTGAGGTACCTACTAAGAAATTGTGCAACATGTGGGTAGCTGAAGGTATCGCGATATTAGCAAGTGGTGAAGTTTCTAGGGGAGAATCATTGGATGATTTTGCTCAAAATTGCTTAAGTGAGTTGGTGCAAAGAGGTTTGGTTCAAGTATGGAAAAGGAAAACATCAAATGGTAGTGTAAAATCTTGTAAATTACATGCCATTATGAGAGATTTATGCTTAAAAGTGTTCAAAGATGAAAATTTCCTAAGCATATTGGACTTCGATTCTATGGAAGTAGTGCTAAATGGAAAAACACGCCGATTGGCTATATACTTGGGAGAAGAAGGTAACGATCAGATTGTACTTCCCCTGAAAAACCCTGTTCTTAGGTCTCTTTTGTTGTTCCCTTCTCAAAAAGAGAGACCGGAAGTGAATCATGCATCGGTTAAAGTCCTTTGTCGAGAGTCTCAGTTGATTCGCGTCCTAGATCTTGAAGGAGTTGTTGTAAGTTCTAAGACTTTGCCCAAGGAAATTGGGGACTTTATTTTTTTGAGGTACTTAAGCTTAAGGGACATGCTTCTTACAAAAATACCACCAACAATAGGCTGTCTAAGGTGGCTCGAAACACTTGATTTAAGAGCTAAGGTAAGGCTCGAGATACCTAATGTATTATGGTGTCTCGAAAGGCTAAGAAATTTATACCTTCCTTGCTATTTCACCATCAAAGATTCTGAAAAGTTAAGACTGGATAACTTGAAGAACTTACTAACACTGAAGAATGTGAACCATTTCCTACTCGAAGATGTGCTTTCGATGAAAAAACTAAGAAAAGCTTCTGTGCGATACATGCTTGAAAACGAGCACATTGAATTCATTCAGAAATCTCCTAAGGTTGTGTTTAGCCTTACTATCTTCAGAGCTATAATTGGCAAAGAGCATGTAAACGCGTTAATAAGTTTTGCTAACTTGATCAAACTCGAGTTAAAAGGAGAGGTCTCAGTACCAATACATGAGCTCAAATTTCCTCCTAATTTGAAGAAGTTGGTCTTAGATTTTTGTGGGATTATGCAAGACCCAATGCCGGTCCTAGCAAAGCTTCCTAATTTAACAAGCCTATGCCTTGATCACCAAGCTTATGTAGGCCAAAAGATGATTTGCTCTGCTTCGGGTTTCCCTCAGCTTACTTACTTGAGGCTTCATGGCCTTAAAAGTTTACGCGAGCTGAACGTTGAACATGGTTCCATGCCGAATCTCAAGTACTTGGAGGTACGAATTTGTGAACGATTGACAAAAATTCCTGAAGAGCTTCCTCATCAGGTTCAAATTACACATATTTGACAGCATTTTGGTGAGTTTTGCAAATAATATTGTTTGGTACTTTATGACACATTTTTGGTTTTATAATTTTCCTGCTGTTTTTTCCTCCTGTTGGGTGTTTTTGTGTTTGTGCACACTTGATTGAAATCATGATGTCTTTGATATTTTTACTACTTGTATCAAAAAGGAGTTTTGGAAGAGTTATGTGACTGTCTAGATTCGATCTAGAGCAGCTCCAAGGCTTTTACAAAACATCTGATCTTCTACTCTATATGATTTACTCCGTGATACTTATCACATATATGGACGTTCTTGCTCCATAGAAACATCATTGTGAAACGGGGGGAATATTGGCCCTCATTAGATATTATTAAAATTTCAATTGCAGAATAAATTGTCAAACATACTTCAAGTATTATTCTAACTTCAAGACCGCCATTTACTGCAAAATACATGTGAAAGTATCATTAGTTGAATTGCTGGGGATTTTATTGCAAAATTATTAAATAAAGAACCAGATATTACTTCAAACACGGACCACTCTACATGCACAAATAAAACAATGGGCAATTTAATGTAAAACTAATTTGAAGACTCAACTTGATAATTAGTTATGAATCTCCAGTCTCCACTACTACAGAGTATACTATACCATATTTTAGTTGAGAATGCGGCAACCCTGTAATATAGTGTGATAGGACAGCCAGAGTACATTGTACTTTTCCTAAAAATTATCTGTGCTACCGTACATCTTTCTGAATTATATACTCCTTAAGAGTACTATATTCTATATACGCGGAACCTGTTAAAAAGAAAAGTAGACTTTTCTATTCATTCAAATAGCGTGTTGTGGGATTTATTAGAAACTTTCCTTTTAAATCCAAAAATTCAAAAATTGTTTAAACTAAAGGTAATATAATCTACGCTTTTAATTTGGTCCAATTTTGAAAATTTTAAGACTCAGTATCAAAAAAATTCTTGGGGTCATAGTGTACATCCTAGGAATATATAATGATGTTTGGAAGTATATATGAGTTAATGAGGATATGACCACTGCTTGGTCATATAAAGGTTTGTGGTAGCCTTGAGTTAATTAAGGGACGCATGTATTAAAATGACAAAATACGTTGTTTAAAAGCAAAGTGGATGGTTTTAACTACCCAAATGGTCTCCTGAGGTGTCGTGAGGTCCACGGGAAGAACTTAAACCACTTTTCTTTCGAGGTTTGAAAAAGTATGAAATTGTCTAAATTTGTAGGCTAATATACACAAAATCGGACCAATTTTAGAGATTTTGGGACCTGATATCAACAAATCTCGAGTTTGTAGGATGATGAATACTGTATTGTAGAATGATATATAGTTGGTCATATAAAATTCCTTGGTGGCCTTGAATTAAGAAGAGAGGAGTAAGTTGCAAACGACTTAACTAATTGACATTTTATTATTTTAAGATAAGATTTTATCTAGATTTTGGATAAACCAAGGCGATATATTCTCATTTTCAAATACGATAATTAACCATAAAAAGACAGTGATCACCGACCATGAGAAGTAGATTCATTTCTTATTTTAGATGAGATCAGTGCTAGTCCTATTCAACTTGCCCAACAAATGGGTCCGTACTGTACATATTTTATGTTAAAAGCTAAGTATTTTATTGTTTTAAGCTTTTAACTGACAACAAACTACACATGATTGATGAAAAAACTCGGCATTTCATAAATTTGAACAATCATTAATTTTGCAAAAAATACAATGTAGGCCACTTTTGCTTATATGGTTGTCAATTGCACTAAAAGCCATGTGAACTTTGGTTTATATGGTTTTTTATAACATAAATGAGTAAAAAAAAAATCAGTTTTCTGTTGGCTAGACATAATGACCAATGGTATTGTTATACTTTTATATATTGTTTATATATAGCCATTCATAAAACACTCATTTATCAAACTTATTTCCTCAAAAAACAAAAAAAAAAAAGTTTTATATTACACAAAACCAAACATGGGTTTTAGATTCCATAATATGATCTCAAACACAAAGCAAATCCTTAAGATTCATTCATCCTTGAATAGAAACCAACAAAAATCAGTTCCAAAAGGCCACATTGCAGTTTACGTTGGCGACGAAGAAATGAAGAGGCATGTAGTGCCCTTGTCTTTCCTTAGACACCCTTCTTTCCTAGACTTGCTTCATCGAGCTGAAGAAGAGTTCGAGTACAATCATCCGATGGGCGGCCTTACCATTCCGTGCAGTGAGCAAATCTTCAACGATCTCACTGCACGATTGAGCTAGTAGTCGAATGAATGAAAAATTACATGAAACTATTTACGAAATATAAGAGATATATTCACAGATTCAACTGTGAACTTATGCTGAAGTGACCCTTTTATGTTTTCTGGTGTTTTTTTTTACACTTCTTGGTTAATTCTGGTTCTTGTGTGCTCAAGTAGTAGCACAACAAGAAACAAACTTCTTGTGTATATTTTTTACCCCACTTCATGCATTGAGTGGGTTGATGATTATTATTGATTAATGAACTGCTAATATAATCTTTTGGTTGATTTCATTTTATACTTTTAAGCCAAAGGTTGTCTTTCAAAGTTTTTCAATTATAAAGAGATGAACAATAGAGCAATATATTATGACATTAAATTGATGATTTACAGGTGATGGATTGTTAATTGACTAAGTAACTTTAATTGTGTATGATGTATAAAATTAGACAACTATATTTTCATTAAGAGAAGTCAGCAATTTTAGCAACATAGTCAAAGTTTAAGTGTGTAACCGAATATTGCATTGGATTGATAACATTTTTTAAGAAGTATATATTCCTATCCGTACCACACGTCTATAATAAGATAATAGTGATTGTAAATTTTAATGTTGTGATTACTCCAAATCACATAAAAGTTACCCTTTGTGATGTCAACTAGCGTAATTTTTGTAGTTACTATGTACTCCGTAGTATGTACTTATTTTTGGTAACGTGATGGTATATAAAGTCAAACATAAGGTTTCAACCATACATTTAAATTTTAATTTTGCTTAATTAGTTCGTCCTTTAACATGTTATCATTCCTAAGATAATCTGAGCGAATACTAATTGGCCTGTTTTGCGAGCATCAGCCACCTGCCCCGCCTCTAAGTCTCGAAGATGTAGGACATTTAAAATCTAGAAAGCCAAAAGGAGCTTCTCAACGAACAACAAGCATTAAGAGCTAGCGTAATAAGAAGGTCACAATCTAAAACCTCACCAATCTAAAGTAGAGTATTTAGTGCTACATATGAGGAGACCCATCCATACTTTGTATTTAATAGACTCTCGTATGAAAGGGCGTGATATAAATTAAACTCGAAGGCTTTAACGATTTTTTTTCTAATTTTATTTTAATCTCTTTTTCATATTCAAGCATTATCTCTTTGACTTCACCAACGTATTTGCATTTACTTCAAGAACGGAGGGAGTATTCAAAAGCGTCACTTTTCATTTAATTGGTTGAAATTTGTGGTTGGAATCAGAGCGTCAGGGAGTACCACATGAACTTAACATGCGAGTGATTATAAGCGTTAATTCACATGACGAAAGCACTTAGATATGCTAAATAGCAGTACAATCCGAGGTACACTACTCTTGTCCTCTCTTTTACATGTTACATCCAAATCCAATCACGTTTACCTTACAAGATGACAAGTACAACTCCTATCAAACAAGTACAGAAAAGTTTATTTTCCATGTTACCTTTTTTAGTGGTGATTTTGTACCATGTATTACTACGGAGTACTTTACTATGTATTCTCGTGTTTTAAAAATCGCCTGATGTGTTTAATTGTTGTCTATGAAAGATAACCACATATTCTTAATAACTAACATGATGTACTTAGTACGTACCTAAACGTTGTTCATATATCCCCCACAATTAACTAAAAACTCAAAATCTACCGAAATTATTGAAAGGAAAATTGTGAAGAGAGTAATAGATTATGGACTTCAATTAGTTAAGCTCGGAGGAGTTCAATTATGCCATTTTCGACCTACGTAGTATATTATCGATCTAAGACTAAAAATGAGTTCACAGCCTACAAGACTTGAACTAAACACAATTTGAACGATCTATTAGCCATCTTTTTAGACGATGTCATTCTAACTAGATATTTGCAAGTAAATCCGAAATCATCAATTACTCTAGTCAATTATACTATTGGCTGTCCTGCAAGGCTGCTATAAAAATACTAAATTAGATTAAAAAACACCCCACCACACTTATATGATCTATCGTCTTCTTTGACTATCCCTTTCTTCTCTAAATATTGACATTCTTATAATCTTATTATTCAGACAATAAATTTGTCGTCAATTCAAATAAAACAAACCTTTTCCAGACATATTCCTTGTCAATAAGCAATTTGATAAGCAACTATATATTAACTAGTTAACTACACATATGAAAGGATAATATTCATATATTCATACATATATATGACTTGTTTTGGCAGAAGTTATACAAAATATTTATGATTTATCTAATTGTCCGTATAACATTAGTGGACCGTCGAGGCGCCGACGAATCGACAACAAGATAATATACTAAACGTACATATTAAAATGATCAAATATACACCATTAAGATAGAATGGTAGATGAGACATCAAATTAAACTAAAATAAGTGATCCATTTGGGGCCTTATGTTTATTTGGTATATGCAGGTCTTCACATGGCCTTGTTTCGCTTATAATTCACAAGCATTTTCAAGATTGTGGTTTTAAGAAGCTAACAAGGCAAAACCATGTGAAAGCCTTAATTAAATAGGTCATCCATTACATCTACAAAATCTTTATCCAACACACTAAGAATTCGCCGCGATTCACCTTAGTAAGTTAGTATATATAGCTCCCCTTAGCCTTAGCATTTTCATCAAACTTGAATTCCAATTCTTACAAACACTAAGCAAATATACATCTCTTAGCTAATAAGCTTTTTTCTCTGTTTCGAACGATTTTATTACAAAGATGGCTATTCGATTCCCTTCTATGCTCGCTAGTGCAAAGCAAATTCTTAGTAGAAGTCAGCAATCAGTAGTACCAAAAGGGTACATCCCAGTTTATGTAGGTGATCAAGTTAACAAGAAGAGATATGTGGTGCCGCTTTCTTACTTAAGTCACCCTGCATTCCAATGTATGCTACACTGTGCTGAGCAAGAGTTCGGGTTTAATCATCCTATGGGTGGTCTGACGATTCCTTGCTCTGAAGAAACATTCTTTGAGCTAACTTCAGAACTAAAGTAGTGTTAGCAGAACGAT